ACCAAACTGCAAGTCTGAATTCAATGAAGAAGTTATTTTATCCCTGCTCTTCTGGGAACCCATTTGTAGTAATCGTTGTCCCTCGACATGCGATATAGCTACAGTGAAAGCCACAGCTTCAAAATACAAAAAGATTTATCTTTATTCAGAATTTTTAGTAAAATTTTGTAGTATGCAGTTTTGTAGTCCATTAAATTTAAAGTGCAAGTTTCAATTGGCTACAAAATACAATTGATTTTTAATAATTTTTTTTTTTTGCTGACGGTGTCACGCATTTTTTTCCCAATACAAAGTATGCTCGACAATTTTATTATACAACAACAAAAATTGTCAAAAATCAACGGTATTTTACAGCCACTTGAAACTTGCACTTTATTATACTAAAATTGTGCTACAAAAAAATTTTCTAAAAATTCTGAATAAAAAGTTTAAATAAAAATTTGTCGAATTTTTATAGTTTTTGTATATATTTTGAAAAAAAAATTTAAATGGTGTTTGTTGTATAGCTAGCCAGGCTTTTATAAAAAAATATTAAATATAAAATAAACCATGGAGTAATAGCCAAAACTCTTCAAAGTAAGGCGAGCCTATTATTTCTGTCGCCAGTGTACATACTTTGTGGCTTGTTTTTTTTACTTTTTACTTTGACACTAAGCTATCTACATATGTATATTTTTAACTCTGCTTCACTAATCACATATTTAATAAGATTTTTACCTGAACCAAGCTTCGGCCTCTTCCGACAGTGATTTGATCAATCAATAGCCCTGAAAAATTCACGGCACTCGGCAAAGGTTTCAAAAGCTTTTAAAACGTGGCTGCCTAGCGGAAATTCTTCGTCACTGAAATCAACGTGATTCTTCGTTCTTTTTTTACATGAAATTTTAACAAGATATACGTCATGCGAGGGTTAAAGCATGAGTCATAACACAAATTTCTTAAGAAAAGAATGGTGATTCCCATTGTATGTTCAAACGGTTTTAACACACAAACAATCAAATTAACGTTCCCCAATTTTGGTCACCCTAACGTCGTAGCAGTACACAGAGAAAAAAGCACTTAATAAAATGGAACAAAACTAATAAGATATTTCTACGGTTTTTTGTTAAGAAGATATTCGTTTTGCTTCCAGAGGGCAAATCTTTATAATAACACCAAAATAAAATCTTGTCTAATTAAATGCTAAAAATAGAAATTAAAAATTCCACGCCGACCTGTCCTCGATCCTGTGACCTTCTGAATGACAGTTTAGAGCTCTACCTCGGCTACGGTGGTCATCTTACCGACAGTATTCTATTAATTAATATGAATTTAATATAAATTCAACAAGACATCGCATGAAAGTAAGAAGAAAACATTTCAAAAAATTCAAGAATACATCACATATTTACAATTGAGAAGCAATTTTCATGAAATATCATTACATATGTAGGATTGTTAAACATTTCCAGTAAGCACTCGCAGCGAGAGCGTAAACAAAAAATTGAGATAAGAAAAAATAGAAATAAATCATTATATACATACTATGTATATAAAATAAAATAAACAAATAAAATAAAAAAGATAAACATGGAAAAAAACAATTGTCAAGTAATTGTCTATTTTATTACATAGAATAAAAAAGAATCTACACATAACATTAAGAAGAAATTTCTATGGAATTTGCTCCGTTTTTTTTATCTGTTTTGCCCTTTAGCCCAGAACCTTTTCATAAAGTCAATCTTCTTGTCATATACATATGTATCATATTTTTCTCTGTGTAATTAGTAGTCCCAAATCTTATCGCCATTTGACCGCTTATCTTCCCTTCCCTCCCGTGCAGTGCAGCGTTAACTAATCTCAGAATTTATAACTATTGATATCACACATTGCCAGTAGATACAGGTGCCACAATACTAAACATAAATATTAAACCGAAATGTGACTAACTACAACACGCATTCATCATCGACCTAAAACGCAGTATTACTTTGGACAGCAGCTAATTAAGTCGCAGCATTAGAACGCAGGCCATTCAATTAAGTCAAAATACTGCAACAATTTGTTAAGTGTTAGCAGTAAAATATTGATCAGGTTGATGGCACCACCTCCACCACCACCACATGGACCACCATCGCCAGGTCCTCCACGTCGACCACTGATTAAGGTGGAACTCATTCCACCATGGCGTCGACGACACCACCATCACCATCACCCACCGCCACCACCGCCCAATCAACCAGTCGTGGTAGTTGTGCCACCAGCACAACCTCCGCCACCACCATATGGAAGTGGTTACTACCCACCACCACCAGGACCGCCACCGCCGGGACACTATCACAATCCACCGCGTTATTGAAGATGTGATAAGGATATGAGGATCAGTTCTTCGGAATTTATTTAGTGTTTAAGTGGGTTTATTTTCCAGGAAATTAAGCGTGATTCATCTTTTTCAGGTGTTTAGTAACTTTTAAGTAATAAATTTTCAATAAATTTAAGGCACTTTTTTTTATATCTGATAATTGTATGGCTTCATTTTTGGTAACAAAAATAAATTATTTCGCATGATATCAGTGTTATCGGTGATAGCGTTGTCTATTTTCATAAAACCATTGGAATATTTTAATACCCAGCGCACTAGAGCTTAGAAGGAGGAAACAAAAAGATGTTTTGTAATTTACTTTCACAGCAAATTTGGTTTGTTTTCGTCTGCAGGTAGGGAAACAAGACTTCTGGGCCTAAAGAGGAATATGTGGAGGGCCCGTTCTAATACCGCGACTTGAAATTTCACTGCTCCTTATTAAACCAGTTGGAGCCTCTGATCTCTTGCTCTGGAAGGTACTGGACATTTACGGAGACGCTGTCCCATCCTCCACATTTTATTTGCCGCGTCTACAAAACGGTATTCCGAGCCGTTCTGCCTGTTACTGTTAAGGTAAAGGCTTCTTAGAATAACGATGGTTTTCTTAACGAATACAAACTTTGAGACATTATTAAATCCCACGAATGCTATGGTTGGCCTAGATCTTCAACAGGTCGTGCTTTGCATCCACCTTTCATTTGATAGATCATAGCTTGAACCAATGTGTTCTCATGGAACAATCTGCTTGGTCGTGCCCTTCTTGCAAGTTTTCCGTCACACAGTTTCCCACTATACGTCTTCATTTAAAAATTGTGCTAGACTGGCGCCAATATGTATCTGAAAGAGATGACTTAATGTAATTCAAAATTCTAATTGTCACTGAAAATAATAAACATCGGTATCGGTTCCAAGTGTAAGTTATATAAATTCAGAGGCAAACTTTCACCCTATATCTATCTAAAACGAATACAGAGCTATGGAAAAATTCTCATAGAGTTGAGTTATGGGACAACTTTTTTTTACCAATTTCACCTACGCTAGGAACTCACCATACAAATCGACTAAGCCTTAAATTATATTGGTGGATCTCCGCCGACAGAGAAATGAGCTCCTTTTATCCGGCGTTAGGACAAACTTCTTTGTCCTATTTTATGTTTTTCTCTAAAAAAATTTCGTACTGAGGAACAACCACATAGTACCACTTCACCTCTCGGCAGACATTATCAAATCTTCGGGTGTATTTCGCTTCGTAAATTGCAGGCGAACCTTGGCTTTAAATACATTTATTGTTGGATATAGAACAATGCGACGTTAAGATCTATTGGAAAACCAGTGGGCAGACTTGATTTATTGTTTGTCTTTGAATCCGAGAGAATTTTTAGTCATTATTCTAGATGTCTAGATTTCAACGTGTCCGTGGTTAAAAAATAATGACCCAAATATATTTTACGTTTATGCCTCAGAGCAGGACACCGATCCAAAGTGTGCCATGCTATTTCGATGCTGATCCTTAAAAATTAGCACAGCTCCTGCGAGTAAATTCCCAGTTTGGTTGGGCTATTTCAACGTACGATGCTCTGTACAAATTTTCGTTACAAGTCTTATAGATATTCTAGCTGGTCGATCTTTCCAGTAGCGATTTCTGAGAGCTTAATACGTTTGTTTGGCCAGAGTACAGAGTGCCTGCTTTCCTATGCCACAGAAGGTCTCCGGGCCGAAGCTCCTTTCTTTGTCTTTTTTACTTGACTTGATTTCCTTCGAAACCAATGTGTTCCGCAAGCCAGAGAGCCCAAACTTGATTGGTCAGATGCAAGCATCTTAAGGCACTACATTACCAATTTAGATGTTAGCTGATGAAATCTGCGGACATTGGCGGTCATCCAATTAGTCAATGAGCCGTAACTGTACCTAAGTTGTTATCATAGACCTTCGTACAGAAGCTTCAAAAAGTTTCTCCCGTGGAATATTTTTTCGTCGTGACTTATATCGTCACTAGACACGAATAAAGACGCGATCTGAAAAGTTGACCGCGAAAAAAATTCATAAAAAAAACTTCAGCGAAGAATACAAATCTAAACAAATTTTTGTTTAATTTAAACTTGATCCCCTTTTACTGGCGCACAGTGTTGTACCGTACACAACTTCAAACAAAAATATTCATACAAATTCAATATTGATTTTCAATTTGTTTTGTTTTGGCGAAATGCAAAATTCCATTATCTTTATTATTTCCTATCACTAATTCCCAAGCAGTCTTATCAGCAAAAACAAAAGGTTTTAGTGTAGTCTACATACAGCTATTCGTCTCTTTTATCAGGTGCAAAGCCACAAAGCGCAATTGCTTATCTTATCAGCGCACAAGCTGACTCATAAGCAATTCGGCAACCTGATGGCCATATCTGCATTTCACCCATACGCACACACACGCATTCCTCCAAACCAACATTAGTAGTGGTGCATGATTAAGACACCTTACTCTAAGGCTTACAAACTACTTTGGGGTATATGTAAATAATTAATTTGCTGTGCGCGCAGTTTCAACGCAACGCTTCGAGCGGACACATTCGGGCAATTTGTAAAATTCAGCGGTTTACTCTGTGCGCCCAGAAGCCTTTAAAAGGCGTTAATTTTTAAATTTTTTGTTTTAAGTTTTTGTGCAATGCCACCGCCACCACCTTATGCGGATCCATATTACGGTCGCCCTCATCATCACCCTCGTCGTCCAGGTATTGAAATTGATATTTTTCCCGGATGGCGTGGCGCGTACTTTGCTCCACCGCCCCCACCGCCGCCGCCGCCACCACGCACCACTGAGGTCATAGTTGTGACCCCGGGTAATGCTGCCGCCGGTTATGGGACGCCAGCTGCCACTTATATACCGCCGCAAGGACAATATTACAACAACAATTATTATAATAACGGCGCTTACTCATATCCGCAACACTACAATAATCCGCCATATCCCGGCTGGTAGCGGCAGGCTGTTGGAGATCCGAAAAAAATTTCATTAAAATGTAGTTCGGTGGTAAATAAAGTGAAAAATTTAAAGGAATTATAAGAGAGAGCTGTGCTCACTTTAATTCATTTTTAAACTATCTCAGCAAATGTAATGACTATTGTGAATTATTTATTTTTAGTAATAGAAAGTATGTTGTGTGTGTAAGTATATATTTATCTAAAATAGTAAAATTTTACGCAATAAAAAAATTCAACGAGTTTTATTTGTAAGGAATTTTTGATAAAATGCAAGTAAGCACGCACAGTTTCCCAAATATTGGTCTAACTTATTGAAGACAATAAAGTGAGGAAATGCTAATCCAGAACAAATCTCACCATAAAGCCGGGAAATACTAAAACAGTTATTTTTAAATAATTTTTTGTTAGTTTTTTTCCCTGCCGCAATAAAAGTTTATGTGATTTTGGCCGAATTCAAGATACGTTGTTTGCTGACTTGCTGACTATTAGATACACCAAGGAAAGTCAAACCCAGTTCCAATGCAAAGTGGGCCCTCACCTTCGTCCGCTATCATCAGCGGGTAAGGCATCGCTTAATTTCAGCGGCTGGAATATTTCCTCCCGAACAAAATTACGTAGCTAGGGAATCTGGTTTATCTTTATTCCATGCATTAAGTAGGCGTCTCCGGTGCTTGTCGTATGGAACGTGAAAGTACCAGTGCATGTCCGGTACAATTGTTCTCTCACAGGCTGCCATATCAGGTCGAGAGAAGTTTACTACTCAGTTGCTTACTCAATCCGAAGTAGCAGTGAGATTCCTGCGATTTCCCGTCGGATTTCGAAGCAGATATTTTTTGTACCTAAGTAGCCAAAGTCCTATACTTTTTCTAAATTATAGCTGTCAGAAGCGACATGTATGCCTAGCAACGCTAGCACTTGCTGCTTTTTCGTTGAAAGGGAATGCTGCGGTCTGTCCTCATTTACCACTGTAACGAAGTGTTTTGCTATCTTATTCCGAGAAGGTAAAATAAATGGCGCACAGTGGTCTGAGAGTGGCCTAATTTCGAAATGTGTGGAAATATCCAACTAAGTGGTTGATTCGATTCTAAACGTGTGCACTAACAGGTTTTAAGGATTTTTCCCAGAGAAAAACTACCTTAGCAATCATCAAAGGACTCAGGAAGTCGGGAAATACTCCCCATTTTATTGAAATCAATTTGTACCTTACAACCTGAATTTCACTGAAATCGGATAACATTTCCCATTCCCGCCCACTAGTACGGAGGGAGGGGCGTGATTGGTCGCCTTTGTTACAAATCTCGGTGTTTCAATGCAAAAATAGATCTTGCAAGAAAGTTTTGCAATTTTGGAGGAATGCGACTAGTCCTTGCCACATTATGTAGAATCCAGAATTCATATGGCTGTTGGGCGTGGAAGTCGACTGATCTTTCCCATATTTCAGACTTATGTCTTCCTAGGTTCATCTAAGCTACAAAAGGAATTTCATTGAAATCGGATAAACTTTACCATATCCGCCCTCTAGTGTAGTGGGCGTGTCAGTCCGCTAACTTCAACCATCTTTCATATTTATTCATACCTAGGAAAAAGTACTACTCCACGTTACAATGTTCAACAAAATCGGAGCACATTTACTACTTTTTGCCACATTTTATATGAAGCTCTTCCACTTTGCGGTGCATACCTATAAATATATGTACGTTAATCAAAAAAAAAATAAAATAAAAATTTAGCTGTGCGATTCGGTTCTGCAGTCCTTATTCAATATTGGATTAAAGCAATTACAGAATAGTACCTCGCCTTGTCCGAAACATTGTTTTATGTCAAACGGCTCGAAGATATCCTTCACTGATGGTTTATTTGAATTATTATTTCGCGGGAACATACATATGTACAAGCGGCAGAGTAATCGGCAAATATTTGGTGTTTCTTGATCCTTTCTAGGGGTTCTTTTCCAAGATTTGGAGTACCGTGAAGACCTGGTTTATAGTGGAAATTTCAATCGGCAGGTATGCTTTAATCGGAACAGAATGGGAGTCAATTTACAAAGTTGCTAGTACTGTCTATACTTTTTTTTTTAAGATCTTCGACGTCAAGCTTTCCCTTTGCTCAATTAGGAGTATATTTTTGGTCAGAAAGTTCTGCCCTTTGACTTAGCAAGCAAAGCTACCGCTGCGCTTATGTAATTATTAGAACCATTGCCAATTGTTAAAACCACAGGTGCATACATGGTAAGGAGTATTGAGCTATGGGCACATGTACATATATTACTTTGGTAGCCAACCAAATTGCTTGGTTCGCGTGTAAGAGATCCCCGATCACACGGATATTGAATTACTGACAAGACCGCTTTCCGCTACCCGTTGATGGACGGGCATTTAGTAAGCTCAACGAGCGCTAAGCGAGAGCACTTGGCAAACAGTTCTGAGACTTTGAACTCAAAACTCAGTAAATGAAATCCTTGAATTCTTCTTAAGAGTTCTAAATCATGCAGACAACGCATTTTTACCTGATTGTTTAGGTCAAGGGTATTTATAGTTATGCCATGGTAAACAATTTGTTTTTGTCGGTTTAGATAAAGGGGATTTACCAAAGCTTTAATTGAAATTAGCACGATAAAATAGCACTCAAACAAAAAGAAACAGCAAATAATTAGGCTAGGGAATGATATACAGTAGGGTGATCCTTAAAAGTCTATAAATAAAATTGTACACAAAAGTTGAAGGAGTGGAAGTATGGGATAAGGTACACTGCTCTGAATCGGAAATTTGTAGGTGCTTTCAGCTAACGGTCATTATTTTGGAGGCTGAAAGTTTGTAAATATGGATGACGGCAGATATACCTAAGGACATTTATGCAGACAATCAGGCAGCCGTTAAAGCGCTACTTTCTCATATCTTCGATTGGGTCTCACACTAAGGGGTTTAAAGTAACGAAAGAGCTGACTATCAGCGACAGAACCACGATCGTGAGAACTCGACCTGTTCTAAAATCGGAGGGCTTTCCAGCACCCTAAGTTTGGAACACTCATTAATATCTTCGTATACATACATACATATATATATGCATACATATACGCCATTGAAAATAACAACTTAGTCATTTGTTATTCATTTCATGCACCAAAATGCTCTAATCCCCCAAAACCTCTGCGCTGCTAGGCATTTACTGATTCCACGAAGCACCAACTTATTTTGTCTAGATAAAAAAAAAAATTATGATAGATCATTGTAATTAGTAAGTTTCGCCCCTCGGCACTACAACAAAATACACAAATTTGTGTTAAATATTTATAAATTAGAATTTAGATTTCTATCGAACAGTAGTTACCAGCAAGTCGAATGCAACGGACGCTTGCCAGTGAACACTTCGCGTAACTCAATTTGAATACGGCAGGACCTCTCAATAGCAGCAACAACAAAATGTCTTTCTTCCATCATCACCACAATCGTGAAAATGTCGATATAAATATTACAGAGAATATCAACCAACCTGGAGCTGGTGGATATCAACAACCACCTTACCCCCAACAGCAGCCACCTTACCAACAACCTTATGGCCAAGTGTCGGAGACAGTTGAGGTTATAAGGGAAGGTCCTTACGGCAATGTTGAAGTGGATACGATTACGGAGCGCGTGCGACCCGATGGCACAGTGATTGTGGAGGAGGTCAGACGTGAGGGTTACAATTCGGGCTGGTAGAGCCGACTGTGTTTGTGCAAATAAGCGAATAAAATTTTGAAGAAAAGTGAAAGTTGAGATTTATACCTACTAGTATAACTGATTTTGTAAAATATTTATTATGTTTATCGCTCTCATGTAGCTTTTTGTAAATTATAAATGTGCGTGGTAGGAGTCTACTGGGACCCAATGTTGCTGCATTAAAATTAAAAACAAAATTGTGTTGCGAAGAATGAATATAATTTGATTTTAACTTTAATCGAAATCCACTCAAAGCCAATCATTGACGAACAGTTTTAGATGGAACATAAATATTTTAACAATTTTTTGATTATTTGCAAATCGTTGTAAAGACGGACTTGAAGCAACGTTGAAAAATACTTATCTTCGTTTCCAAAATCGATATTTTGCTGTGCTCTATTAAAACAACTTTTTACAAGTCGATTATTTTTTTGGTTAGCTTCTAATCTGGCAAACAGCCAAGTGAGTCTAGAAAAACATTACTCACTACTCACTTGCAACATGTAAATTGTTCAAAAAGGGCATGCAATTAAATTCATAATTTTGACCTAATTCGCGGGCCGTCGTTGTGGCAACGAATGTTTACAGTTAGGAGCAAAACTGCCAGAGAAGCGAATAAAGTGGTTTTTAAGATTTTAATTCGCTTTAAAGTGATAATGCAAGACAGCAAGACAGTTATGTTTATAGCAATGATAATGGCTATGGTAATGCTAATGGTTGGCTAATAGTTATGGTAATTATAATGGTAACGGTTATGGTAAATATAATACATTAGTAATATGCAGTAATAGTAATGACAATGGTGATGGTAGGGGCAATGTAATTGTAATGTCATTAGTAATAGTAATGGTATCGATAATGATAATGGTAATGGTAACGAGAATGATAATGGTAATTGTAATGATAATAATAATGATAATGATAGTGATGAAGGTATTGGTAATGGTAATGGTAATGGTAGTGGTAATGGTAATGGTAATGGTAGTGGTAATGGTAATGGTAATTGTACTGGTAATTGCAGTTATAATAGTAATGGTGATGCTAATGGTAATAGTGATGGTATTGGTAATGGTAATGGTAATTACAGTGGTAATGGTAATTACAGTGGTAATGGTTATGCTTTTGGTAATTGTAATTACAATGGGAATTATCGTGGTAGCTAATGCTAGGGGTAATGGTAATGTCAATTGTAATGGTAAAGGTATTGATAATGGTAATGATAATTATAATTGTAATGATGATGGTTAATGGTTAATTATATTATGGTATTGGAAGATAATGATACTAATAATGGTAATGG